AAAGAGAGAGAAATGAAAAATGTTCTTTGAGGCTGACAGAAAAACGAGCTGTGGACCAGCAGACACGCATTGATACCGATCCCTGAGGGTCTGAAAGTAGAGAAAGTCACAGAACGAAAACCTGCAGAGATAGAGAAGATGAGGGCAAGAGGGAAGTGGGGCAATACAGCAGGATAATGCATGAATCGAGCAATAAAAAAAGAGCAAGTTGGAGAGGCAGATGCTAGTCCCTGTAAAAGCATTTTGCTGAGAGAAGAAATATAGATTGTGAGACAAACCTAACGGCGCTTCCAAATCCCTTCAGGTCACAATTTCAGGCATCAGAAAGAGCTAGTGAAGACAGTCACCTGTCTAATAGGTTAGGAAGCAGTTCTTCAATCTTCTCTTTAACTTCCACTTCGGATGAACATTTTTTAAAGGAATCTTCATCACTAAAGGACTAAAAAAAAAAAATGCCCCCCATTAGTCCTCTTAATTTTCTATTTACTTCGAAATTCTGAAAACAACTATCGTGAAGGTGTAGAATTAACACCAAGATCTCTTCGACACGCAGAGCTTGAGAATTACACATTGAGTTTTAATAGAGGAGATGCACAAAACCGCATCATTTTGGTAGCTGTATAGAACTAAAAGTTATTTATTTTTTTTGTTTTGCTCTTTCTGAAGTGCTTCAGAACAAAACTTGTACCTGAGGAGGGCCTGATGGAGTCACAGGGGAGTCGTCTTCTCCGTAGCTGAGTTTTTGGATACGCTGAGCAACAGAAACCCCCAGTTCCTTCTCTAAAGCAGCAGGTGGAAACGCTTGGAGATCACACACGTTCCTCACACCCAGCGCTTCGAGGCGTTTGCTGGTTTTGTAGCCAATGCCTAAATGAAACGTGTATAAAAATACCCAGAAAAGTGTGTATACACACATATATATATGGAAAATTCCCACCCACGTAATAGACAATTATTTCCAGCACATTTTTGCTGAGTTTCTGCTCAAGTTTTAGAATCTGCCATTAGAAAAGTCACACGGCAAAGGCCTGTAGCCTACACCAGCGTAGAATAATTAGGAAATATCCTTCCTCAAGAGTATTCTATCAGGCTCCAGTAGATTGTTTTAACAACACACGCCCGCTTGGGAGAACGAGATTTTAAAATTATTTCGGCTGTAATTATTTTTCCGGTATTTTTTACTTGGAGTTGTCAGCACTCTCTCCATCTCTGCTCGTAGCGCCGGACTCACCGGGCACTTTTTGGATGCGGTCGAGGCTGCGGATGAGATCTTGACAGCTTTCAGGCAGAAGAACCGTTTGTTGGTTTGGTTTAAAGGTCCCAGATACCAGTTTAGCCAGTAATTTGTTCGAGGCCACTCCTGCGCAGCCCGTGAGGCCCAGCCTCTCGTATATGGCTTCCCTGAACTCTTCAGCAATCTGAGATCCAAGAACCAGTCTGACGTGCGTCGCGTCGTGCAAATTGATAGCTGCAAAGAAAAAGAAAGCACTCGGTATGTAACCAGGCAGCTAGTTAGCCAATTCTCAAGGTTTAGGTATTTTTTAATCTATTATTCTTTGCTTCAGTCTCAGGAAGTCTATTCCTGACCTACTGGCTGTAGCAAAAATTTGCTTTTTGCTTTGTTCGACTCGTTCAGTTTCGCCGACGACGACATTTGAGCGGAAACAAAATTCTACGTCTAGTAAAACTATTTTAAAGGGGAAAAGAAATGGCAATGAACAACCGTTCTCCCAAATCACTGTACGCACTTAGATTTATTTTTCGTACGAGCCAATTGCAACGTTTGTGATGTGTGCGCTCTCAAATACAGACAGAGCACAGAGCAATCTAAGTTTCCAGCTCTGGACACTACCCACAAGCAGACAGATACTTTGGACTGAACTTCCAAAACGTTTCTCCTATTTTTCAACGCGGAGAATCTTTAACTCACCCTGGTTGTCGTACACGTGGCCAGACACGCTGGCTCTCCAACATCCACTTTGCTGCAGCTGCTTTAGTCTTTTCTCTACAAGCTCTGTGATATCGACAAAATTTTCATCGAACCCAAGCCTTTCCACCAGCGGACAAAATTCCCCCAACAACTCTAGGAGTAAAAGATACCTGAGGATTAATAGTCACACAAGAGATAACGCGAGGTTTTCATGTCTGCATCGATCCATGGGTTCGAGTAGAATATTTGCATGAAGAGACTGCAACCAGGTCCAAAGGCTTATTTTATTAAATAAGAAGAAGAGGAAAATCATCATCTGCTACTGCCTGCGCACGCCCGTGCACGCAGAATTTAACAGGAGGTGTTTGTCCTCGACTGAAAAATGGTTCATGTTGTACCTGTGACCTTGTAGGACATTTCCCTGTAGGGAGCTAAATCTTCTCCGTTAACCAGGACCAGCTGAGGACACTTCTCTTTAGCATCTCTTACAGACATCAGTTTCTGAACTCCAAGTTTTCTGGCTTCGTAGTTGCAGGTAACGACAAGGTATTTCTGCTGCACGCCTACAGACAAAAGGTAAATGTGTTTTTAAAAAAGTTTAGGTTTCTTGGTGCTTCACAGAAGACCACGCGCCACTGCAGAGAGGGGATTTATTAATCTCGTAGTGGCAGCTCCGTGGAGCCTGGACTGCACCTTGCTCGCTCTGGATGTGGTTACAGCTCCGGCGCCACTGCCCGTATCTCACCACACAGGCACGTCCTTCCTTTACTCATCTCCTTAGTCTCTTCTGCCTGAATCCACGTAATCCCCAAACAAAGTTAACTCGTACCTAAAGGCTTGTCTCTGAGTTCAGGATGACGGAGCATTTCAACTTGTGCGTAAAAGCAGTCCAAGTCAACGTGCACGATCACTGGGCACGCCGCGCTTCTCGCCGATACAGACTTGCAGGGGCTTGCTGCAAGGCAAAATAAAGGGACGGAATAGAAATTACTGGCAGCCTTACATGCGGGGTCACCGTTTCAAAAAGTTAATCCACGCTAATGAACACGTATTACAAGAAGAATCGGAAATTTACACGTTTTTCTACTAATTCTAGCACTGCATTAATTCCAGGATTACTAAATCATTAATAGCAACTCAGCTTACTGTGAACCACTCCTGGGTTTGGAGGATCGGTGTTTGTTTCTCGCTGGGCCAATTTCGAACATTGCTTTACTGCTACAATACCCTTTCACAGCTGGAAACTTCTTTTTAATATACTTGTGTGAAATAATCGTCTTGAACTCCTCTAAAAGAGCTCTGCCAGATACTC